TTGTGGACATACTGGGGTAATGGTGCACATGTGCAATGGCGGTATTCTGAGAAGGACCATGAGTCTGAGGCCAGCTCAGGCTACTAAAGAGATTAAGTCTCAAACAAACAAACAAACAAAAAAGTGGAACATTATTTTAAAGTGTATTACTTTTGTTTGTGCTCTGGAACATTTGTTTAATGATGCAAAGATGTGTTTGATTAAATAAAATTCACCTGCGGTTAGGAAGTTGGGTCAGCAACCAGCTGACAGGAAGCTGCAGGGAGAAGCAGGTGGAGAAGGGTTTATAAGGAGGGGCGAAGACCAGCACAAGGACTTCTTGGGAGAGTCAAAGGGATGAGCTAGGTGAGCTGCTTGCAGTCTACCCTCTTGGGAAGCAGGAATCTACCTCAACCTTTGAATTTGAGTTCTTTAGCAGGACAGAGATTATATAAGTTTTTTAATAGCTTGAAAGAATTGGTGCCTGAGGGAGCAGAATTCCCTCAAGGTTTCAACTCTTGCTCGGAGTGGCAGTTTCGGAACAGGATAGCCGTAGCTTAGGAAGGCAGCAATAATTAGGAAAACAACAGAACACAGTTATAAAAGTGTCAAGTAAAAAAGATATAGTACTAATACTGTACATCTGTCACAAAGGAGAATTTGATCAATAACAGAAAATCCTTTCAAGTACAGCTTGGAGATCTAGTGCTTCACATAAGCAGCACCGTGGTCTTGACCTCCAGAATCAAAACCAAACAAAAAAATAAAGTCCTATAGAAGTCTCTTTTGTTTTTACAAGTATGTTAGAAAATAAAACACACATGTGCACAACCCAAATACACTTCTAAATTGAAAAGGAGCACTCAAGCCAAGCCACAAAAAGGCATAAATATAAAATAAAACTGCTTCATTTGTAAAAGATGGGCTGGTAAGATGGCTCAGCAGTTAAGAGCACTGACTACTCTTCCAGAGGTCCTGAGTTCAATTCCCAGCAACCACATGGTGGCTTACAACGATCTGTAATGAGATAAAGCACTCATACATAAAATAAATAAATCTTAAGAAATAAATAAATAAATCATTTGTAAAAGACAAAACCAAAAAAACAACAATCTCTTAGGGCCTTCTAGAGTTAGCTGCCCTGACCTCCACCATGGATGCACGCACACACATTTTTTTACAAAGTAAAGGAAGATGAACTGATAATTAGGCTGTAATAAGAACAATTCTCCCTGGGAAGCAGTCACCACCATTATCCCATATACTCATGATGACAACTGCAGCTTCTGCTCTAACAGTCGGAAGCAGAAGTGACCAGATGAGTCCTCTCAGAGCCTACTCCTGCCTCAGAAACAAAAACACCAGCTCCAGACTCTGTGCTGGTTGACTGCATAGCAGAGTCGGTCTTAACTTCTCTGAATTCCCGGCATCTTCTTCACCTGCCCAGGTCCGAACTCCTCCTCTCCAAACACTACCCTACCCTACCCTACCCCACCCCACCCATTTCCCTATCAAATTAGAGAAACACTGGCCTACGTATTCCAAGTCAAAGTTCTCTGAAGCATCCTTGACTCTCTCTTTCTCCTGATAGAGTGTGGTCCAACAGCCCCACCATCGGAATGCACTCCAAATCTGGTATCTCTTTGCTTCTGTGGCTCCAACTGTCAATGACACTGTTGTCATCATCTGGTCTCTCTGCCTGCAGACTCCTTAACCTCAACACTGTCACCAACACAACAGCCTAAAATGATCCTACTAATCCCACCAAAGGAATGTTCAAAGTCATAGTAAATTATCAATAAATCAGATATTGAGTGTATCTACTCAACTGTCTGACCCCGAAGGCCAAAGGCTCACTGGTATTCACAGACCGGAGCCCAAAGTCCTTTGAATGGACTACATGACCTGCATCTGTAGCCATATCTAACTTTCTACCTTCCTGCACTGCCTATGTTGTCTGATTATTCCTTAGATGAGCCAAAACAAAACAAACATCACAAGCCCTGCACTTGCTATTCTTACCTATTTGGGATATTTTGTTTCCTTTGTCTGTTTTTGAGACAGGTTTTAACTCTAGTCCTAGACTGGCCTCAAATGTTCACTAATCCTACTAGTTCAACTACCATGCGTCGGAATGCAGGCCAACACCAGCACACTGGACTCTCACTTGCTCTCTTAATTATTCCCCATAATTTCACCTTTCCCGTTAAAGAGCCATCCCAAATCCATTTATGAAAATTACAGCTCCAGGGCTGGAGAGATGGCTTAGCTGTTACAAGCACCAGCTACTCTTCCAGAGAAGCCAGGCACCCACATGGTAGCTCACAATCATCTTTCACTCCAAGTTCCAGGGCATCTTTGAGCTCTCTTCTGGCCCCTGTAGGCATTAGGCAAGTGCACGCAGGCAAAGCACTCTGATGCGTAAAATAAAATAGAATATTTTAAACATTAGCTTCAGCAATGATTCTCCCTATTTTCTCTCCTTTCCAGTTTTGTTCCCTCCCCAGGTATTATCACTGTCCAGATTATCACGGTTTACACATCTTACTAATTTATCTTCCCGGTAGAGCGTTAAAGAAGAGATGTGACTATTTTTCCCCTACCTGGAGTACAGAATAATTCATGACACATAAACAGGAAGTAATGAATAAAGTGAAATTTAAATTAAAAAGCTGAAAGCCTGGCAATGTTAATGTTCATGCAGCATCAAAACTGTGCATTGTATACTAATGTGTCCAGTGCGGGCTACAGTGGGGATGGCAGGCAGCAACAGGAGCGTGTCCCCCATGGGTTACATCCACAACACACACACACACACACACACACACAACCACTCACACACTCACACCAACTACACACACCCCAACCACACACACCACACACACACATATACACACACAAACCACACACACACACACACACACACACACAGACACACCAACCACACACACACACACACACACACACACACCACACATACACACACACACCACACCCCCCCCCCCACACACACACACACACACACACACACACACACACACACACACACACACACACACCAGGATGCAGCTCCCGGTAAAGTACTTCGAAATTATCATGCAAGTAGCATACGCTCTTTTACAGAGTATTTACTTCCCAGTTTTATAACCTAAATTATAATTACCTTGTTTAAAGCATGCCCAATATGAGGGTCACCATTTGCATAAGGAGGTCCATCATGAAGACAAAATTCTGTCTTTCCTTTTCTTTCTCGTTGCCAGGAATAAAGCTCTGAAAACCCACATTTCTGTTAAAAAAAAAAAGTCAATGTTTACATATCATCTAAACACATGTTATGGAATCTCCTGAATACTTGGTTATTACTGATTGTTGTAATTTAACAGAATCGGTGCACGAGAGAAAGATGCCATACAACTGAATTTAAGCAGAGGAGTTTTTTGTTTGTTTGGTTTTTTATTAGGGAAAGGGGAAAGGGAAGGGGGGTTGGGGGAGACCGGCCTCCAAAGACAGGAGCAGGAGAGAGGAGAAAGGAAAGAGGGGGAGACCGGGGGGGGGGGGGGGGGGGGGGGGGGGGGGGGGGGAAGAGAGGGGGGGGGGGGGGGCCTTTTAAAAGGAGAAAAAGAGGAGGATGGGAGATGGGCAGGGCCCTTTTAAAAGGGAACATAGTGAATGTGCACATGCACAGGTGGTGCTCTTAGTGGCTGCAGCAGAGGGCAAATCCTGTCAGAACCCGAAGGACAGGCCAGTACAGATGCCTGACTAACAATGATCCCATTCCAACTCATTCAACTCAGAAATCTAACTGGAAACACTTCTGAAAGGAACCAGTATTAAACACCTTCAACAGTCTTCCCTGCCCTCTACAATAATTCAGAATAACGTCTACACTTTTCCGTGGCAGGACTCTAAATCCTTGGCTAGTCTCTCAGTAACCACTCCCTCAATCCAGCCCTGCTGAAGGACCTGTCAACCCCAGCACCCCCCCCCCAACACTCTAGCTTATTCTTGCTATTCTTTGGCCTCAATCCTTCCCTAAATCCAAAGACTATTCAGGCTAACTTATTCACTTAAAACAGCATTCCTAGCTATCCGGGATATTTTAAAGACTAATGTTATAGGCACTAACACGTGAGTCTCATCCACGAGCAAATTTGAGTACGATACAGCAGACAGACAAGCAGCCTACATAGGGGACTCAGAGAAGGATTGCTACTTTGTCCAGCAAAGGAGTCACGATTCCAGCGAGAGGCCTAAACAGGTAACTAAAGTGGGCTTCAACTTCCCCGCTTTGCTAACACTTGAATGATCGCTTCAAGACTTATTTTTGTTTGTTGGTTTTAATTATTTGTGTGGCGCATGGGAGTGCAGGTGCCGGCCGGCGGGGGCAGAGGAGCTGGTTCTTTGGGAGCTCGAGTTACGACAGGTGGTGGTGATCTGCTGGATTTGTGCGCGGGGAACCCAACTCAGAGCCTCGGCACCGGCGGCAAGCGCTCTGAAGAAGCGCTGGGTCATCTCTCCAGGCCACACTTGGATTTTCATTTATTTACACGCTGGTTACTTTCTGACCCGCCTGGTGCGGAAATCGGGACGTGCACGG